TTACACGGAAACTGGCGGACTTAATTCCGGTGTCCAACATTTATTTTCCGGTGTCCAACATTTATTTAATGTTGGACCAGAATACACTTTGCGCCAACTTCCAAAACCGTTCAAGTGCATTTTTGTCGTTCCAGAAGTGCCATGAAGAAAAAGAATATTTGGCTGAAGGAGATTTACAAGTTGTTCGACGCCGGCAGGAAGTTAATTAATATGTAGGATTACAGGAAGACACGTGTGATTGTTACTCGGGTGCAGCAAAGGTGCTGGTCATAAAAGATTGTAAAGGTTGCAATCCTGTTTGTATCCTCATTTATTTTTAATATTAAATATAAGGTTTGCAATCTCGTGAGTTGCTGCAGTTAAGAAAAAGTTTTGAAACCTCACAAATTTTTTATTAAATCTTTAGGCCCAACCATCCATACCATTTATTATTTTACTAAAGATCCACATTGACGTGAATAACAGCCAATATTATCGTAAAAATATTGAGACGACCTTAGTCTCATACACAGAAAAGAAAAAAATTAAAAAAACTGGAAACTATAACATAAAAGAGGTGAAACTACCAAGGAAAAATTAAGAGGTAAATATCAATATAACTGTTACTTAGATTCTTGTGCTTATGAAAAATGGGTGACATAATGTATAATATATAGGGTAATTTATTTGTTGTCGTGATTGCGGTCAATTTCGTTAATGTCGATTAGTTAAGTGTTGCCACAGTTATAATGTTAATTATTATACTGTTGAAATCATCAAACTATTATATCCACATCATTGTTATTGATGATACTATTGATGATGCTATTGAGATTGATATCAGCATTATTATCGAGTTGACTTTGAGTGTAATCGCTATTATTGTTTATGTTGTTTGTATTATTATTATCACCCATAGATAAATCATTTGCGAAATATAGATCTGGTGTGAAAGATAGATCTGGTACAAAACCAAATCCATTTCTATTGTTTTTAAAAAGCGCCGAAATTATAAGATTCTTATAAGTTAAGCTTTCTTCCGTGCTTTTTTTATAATCGTCAAAGCGTTTCTCGAGATTCTCGTTGATTTTGAGTAACTTTTTGTTATCATTTTCTTTAATCTCTAATTTTTGTTTGAGATCCGACAACTCTTTGTTAAGAATTGATATTGTTGCTTTTAATTTCTTGGCCCTGGCTAAAATAAACGTATGAGTGATAAAAAATGTTAGAATTATATTGAAAATTAAATTGAAGATGATGAAAAAAAGCCAACATACGTGTTATGACGTCAACATCAGTGTTGTGCTCGTAGTTGCTATGAATGCTGTTGTCGATATTACTACCATTGTCATCAAGATCGTTTGCGGAAAATAAATCTGATGAAAAATCAGCTTCATTTCTATAATTTATAACAAACTCAGGAGTTATAAGACCGTTCGAAAAAATTATACAATTTTTGGTATCTAAGGCTTCTTCGGTTCTTTTTTTATAATCTTTATAGAGCTTCTCGTTCTTCTCTACAATTTCGAGCAAATTTTTGTTAACATTTTCTTCAATTTCTAATTTTTGTTTGAAACCCGACAATTCTTCACAAAGATTAGATATTGTTGCTCTTAATTCCTTGACTCGATTTCTTTGAGTTCTAGCTAATATAACAATAAAAACGTTAGAATTATATCGGATAAATTATTAATTGAATCGAACGTATAAACATATGAAGAAAAAATGGCATACATGCTATGGCGGCCCCTGTTCCAGACAGTGGTTTTCTTTTTCTACCATTACTCAATGATGATGCCATAATATAACGAAAAGTAATTGTAAAGTTTTTACAAAGCAACCTTTGTAATAATAACACCGATGACAGCGGTCCTTTTTTTATTCTTTTCATTATAGCGTTTTTTATTCATTTTTTATCTCTTTTTTTTTGTGCTTCTATCAAGTTGTACGATGCGATACAGCATAATTGATGTGTAACGTAAAATTCTCGTGATATCACATGATTATTAAAATGACATTTATTAAAGTTTATTAAGTTTTGCGACGACGATAGCAGCTTGAATAAATACTTTTTGAAATGACACAGATCGACATGGATTTTTTCCTTTTTCATTTGTTAGACAAACTGCTAGAGCGGCGTTCGCTGGAGCGGCGTACCAATCAAAATTCGCTGGAGCGGAGTACCAATCAAAAGTTGTATGCAAATTTTTTGATCAACCTTCCGACACAAGATATTATTACTCGAAAACCAATGCCTAAATCTATTAATTAAAATTGTCGGGGCTGCAAGTTTACATATAATCTTGTCCTCTGCCCTAACCGTTACCCTTACCCAGACCTTATAAATCATAAAAATCATTAAAAGTAATAAGGGGATTGATCACATGATGGACTACGCTTTAACCGTTCTCCAGTTTTTGCTAAATTGATCCTAACAACGAATTACCGTATTTAAGCACCCCCGAAAATAAGCACAAATGGCCTTTAGTTCAAATTTAGTTTTTTAAGAATAAGCACGTC